GCGTTTTTTTTTTCCCCCCCCCCCCCCCCCCCCCGCCGCTCCTTTTTTCCTCGTAATGGCAAGTTAGCAGCAGTTTGCTGTCATGCTGGAACTATTCCTGTCTAAGTTGTCCTCTCTTCTGAGTTCGGATCATCCTCAACACCCCCAGAATCTTTTCAATGAAAGAACGTCCTCCTCTGAATCCAAAATGGGCTCTCTCTTCCCTCCCTGTCTTCTGCCATTATCCTCACGCACCAGCTCTTCCTCTAGCTAGTGGTATTGCCAGCACCGTGGCCTAAGGCCAAGGGAGTTAGACAAAGCAGTCCTTGCAGTTGCACATATCGCATTCAGAGTGATATGACTGCAAATGGCCCCCTCCTTTCTGGAGCTTAATTCTGAGTTGAAGGAGATTGCTTCTCTATTGTGCTTAAATTAAATGCCCCCCAGCCAAGGAGTAGAAATCCTAGGTTTGCTTCCAAACCTGCTGTCCCTTTTGGCCTGAAATCAGCCCTGCAGAAACCTCTCTGTATGAATGCTGAATATTTTGGTCTCGGCCGACGGAGGGCTCTGGCCAGCTGTGGATCGCACAGGGATTTTCCTCTGGGAGGTAATGCTCCTTCCCTGCAGTGCAGGGCTTCTGGTGCAGGAGTATTTGGAAAGGCAGTGTCGATTCAGCTCCTGGAGCTGTGTCCTTGCTGCAGAGCTAACTCATTTCAAGTTTAGGCTGAGAGTGGCCGCTCTGCAAAATCATGTTTAAACTGCACTCAGTAAGTGGATCAGTGAGAAGAAGCAGTTGTGTTTGGTGGGTGACTGTGCTCTGTTCTTGCATGGGAGCTTGTTGGGGACTCAAAAACCTGGACTGAAATCCTGAGGGAGAGGAGCTGTTTGGGGGGGAGGAAATACGGGGAGGAAGCCTCCGTGGGTTGTTGGCAGATCTGGGGATGACTGCGGGTGAGCTGCTCTGCAAGTGACTCAGGATGCTGGAAGCATCCGGGCGCTGACTCCTCTGTCTCATACCAGGCTGGGGAAAGAAGAATGTGTTGTTACAGTAGAATTTGGTGCTATTCCTCTTCCCCATTGCCCAGGTCAGTGGTGACACTTCGCCCAGGGTGTCTGCAACCAGGCTTGCTGTGTTTTGTCCAAATTATCAGTCACCTTCCTTGGAGGGCCTGTGCTCTGGGAATTGGGCCCCTGTGTGTAGCACCCCAGGCTGTCAGTTCCAAACTGTGCTTGCGGAGCCCTGTTTAATCTCCTGCACAAGCACCTTCTCTGGGCGGTAGAAAGGCGCTCTGTTTAGGGACCTGCAGTGCTGTGCCTCTGCCTTCCCAGCCTCACCTGACCCTGCAGTGTCTCAGGGGAACCTCTGTTACCTTTTCTAACAACAGCCATGTTTTGATTTGTTTGTATCGTCTTGCTTATCATACTGAATCCTGTGAAGTAGTTTCCTCCTCGTCTGTCTTGTGTTTCATACTATTTAACTCTGTTTCTCTCTAAGAGGGCCAGCTGCTGAGCTGAGGTGAAGTAGAGCATCTCCATTGACTTCAGTGGAACCAGAGATTTACACCAGCTGTGAACTGGTCTGTAGTTTGTCTTTCCCCCTGTTTCCATGTGTTTTCTGTCTCTCTGGATATTCATCAGCATTCCTATTTTGTTCAGAGAAAAGTAGTTTTAAGATACAGAAGCCAGCAAAAACAGCTTGGGATTTTCCTTTGGTTTTATTCTGATTCTTGCAGAAATGTCAGGTTTCAAGACAAACCCTGTTGCTGTAATAAAGCTTGAAGACTGTTGTATGTAGGATCTGGAAAATTAAATTCCAGCAGACCATGACCTGCCGCACCTCACAGCAACCAGAAGTTCCTTGGTGAAAAGTGCAAATTCTCGCTGAGAAGTGAAATGAAAATGATTTTCCTAACTGGGGCTGTAGCTTGCAGCTGGAGAGACCGATCTCATTCGGTCCTGAGAAATGATACCAAGCACACTAGGCCATTCCTTGTATTATTAAGACTGCAGTGCGGACTTGCATGAGCACATGGCTTGCTTGTCGCCCTTTTCAGAGACATCTTATGTTTGATATTGTTGTCCATATTGAGAGGTTGGTTTTGGAGTGGGAGTATTGGAAAGAATACTGTTTGTAGGCAGAGCAGGGAGCAAAGTGTTCATGCCTTAGCAGAGGGAATAATTTCTAGGAAATATACTGTCCCGCCCCCCGATTCAAACTGAAATTTGCTGTTTCCCTGATCTCTTGAAGACCTTGTGAAGTTAAAAATGGTCTGAAAAGAAGCACACTAAACATGTTTCAGAATTAGCAATTTTCAAGTGGACTTGTTTGGACATTTTGAAAATTGGCATGTTTGGCTTTGTCTACCTGCGTGTTTAGCTTCAGAGCAACGGTATGGTTTTCACAGTCAGCAAATCTCATCGTCCCCACCCATCGCATGTTGGTTGAGTTGCGGAGTGGTTTTGGTTCATGCTAACTTGATTCCTTTCGGATAAAAGTAAACCAGAAGCTTTGCTCCAGTTGTGCAACACTGATGCTCCATCTCTTAATGGGTACACAAGGGTCCAAACCAAAGATTGAACAGCTTTGAACCATGCTAACAATACAGACACTTAGTCTGGGGGCCCAGACTAAAATCAAGTCTTAAGTTGTACCCACTCACCCCGACTACATGTGGTGTACACGTACCAAATGCTTTCATCTTTTGATCCTTTCCTGTTACACCAAATAACTTGCTAGTGTAGAAATATCCTGTGTCTTAAGCTAGAAAAGAAGGATGGTGGGGAGTCCAAGTGACTGTCTTTTGGTTTTCTGATTTAAAAAAAAAAAAAAGGCAGGGGAGTAGGAAGAGGAGACATAAAACATGACCGTTATCCACATGGAAAGATGAAATAGAATGAGGGTACTAGAGGAAAGGCCCAGACTGTGACAGATCAAAAGAGCAAGGCCTCTGGCTGTTACGTTAAAGAACGTCCTAGTTCTTGAGAACATATTTGTGTGTGTGCGCACTGGATTTTTTTAAAAGGAGATAGGTTTATTCT